CCCCCCCCCCAAAGAATCAAACTCTTCTGTATGCAATAGCAAAGTGCTACACCACAGATACCAGTAAGTGTCAGTGTCTCTGGCCATCCTTTACAGCATTGCCAAATGCTACATTCACAATATCCCCTTCAATGTTGCAGGTAAATAGGCCCTGTGCCGTGGGAAATCCCATGAACCAAGGCTGCTCAGGGGTAACCCCACTCTAACTCCCATAACTTTTTTATTTATGAATATTTTCTCATGAATTTCTGACATTCTACATGGAACCACATTTCTATTGATATTATTTTGGGGGGATTTCAATGAGAGATAGATGGAGAAAAGTTGGAGTTAGTAACGTGATGCCTAAAACAACACTACCAAACAACATAAACAACACACATTCGAGGAATAATAAACTGAGATTTAAAAAGGGGGGAATAAATGTGGTGTGAGTGTCTGCAGGTAAAGAGGAAGTGACAAGAGGCTTTTCCTACCTCACACAACGCTCGTACAATCCATATATGGTCGCTTTTAACTTAAGCACAAGGGAGCTATCCCCATAAATGCTGTTTTGAGAAATTCAAAGTTAAAGTTTTTGGATCCATATTCAGTCTCTTCAAAAGACAAGGAGAGTTTTCTCTATAACCAAACAAATATACACATCAATGAAACCAAACTTCTCCTATAGGTAGGGCAAAGCTCATTTTTGGCGCACATTAAGATTTCTGGAAACCCCCAAAATCTGGGTTAGCCCGCTTGTCCTCAAAAGCGACCATATATACATGTAAGCCCATCTGTGTTTACTGCCAATAAATCATATCTGAGCGGCAGATGTGTTAGATCTAGATCTAATCTTCTCTTTGAGCTAAAATCTGAACCTGACACTTTCAAAAGGAGGGAAATGGTGGTAAACCTCAATAATAATTACAAGATTTTAGCAGTAACATCCCTTATAGTTGGTATCAAAACAACCTCTGTCACAGTCCCGTAAATTCTAAGGGCGCGGCAGCGAAGAGGTTAATATTAATCATCCATCAACTGTATTTCATATTTGTGAATGAAACTTTTGGCAAGGAGTAGCCACAGTAAGGGACAGCGCATGCTTATGGGAAGTGCATATATTCGCCAAAAGCAAGACTTTGTCAAATCAGTCACTGGCATGAAGACTCAACACAAGCAAGAGAAAAGTTATCAGCTCAAGCTGCAAATAAAGACATATTGGTTGATCTAAGACCACCTTGCTCATATACTGACAAAACTTATGGTTAAAGACTTGGTAATGGAGAATCCCATGTAAAATAGCAATCAATGCAATATTGATTCTCTCTCAAAGACAAGCTAGTGTTTCTAGACGCTGCCAGACAAAAAGGAAAAACTACCAACCACATCAAGCTTAAAAAAACCAACAGTTCATTATAATAGTCCTATACAATCATTAATACTTTTGGTTCAGTCTTCATTAAGCACATTAATAACTCATTACTTCTGGTTCAGTCTTCATTAAGCACATTAATATCTCATTTTAAAAAAGTCATCAGTTTCATCCTCCACAGCACTGTAAAAATTGTTATTCACAACAAGCATTGTCAGATGAGATAAATCAGAAATCTTATCTAACACTAAACAAAATACAACTGGCAAAACATATGGCCCTTATCACGGCGAATATCTTTCATCCCAATCAACCACAGCGTAAGACAACTCACTTCATCATCGACTTTCTTGAGTTCCTCATCACCCCGGTCACCCCCATCATTGGAACTTTCTTGTCCCGCGTCATCAGGATTGGATTCTTTTAGGTTTGGAAACTTTCCTTCATAGTACTCCTGCATCAACGTCAGGGCTCGAGAGCCGTAGCCCATCTAAGGAGACAAAACATACCAATTACAGATTCATGTACATAAACCTAGTACTGATTGTAACAGCCATTTACTAAAACAAGACCACACAATCAGAGATATCAAGAGTGTCTACACTAATCGTCCAATGTTCTCACCATTTAACAGAGGAAGGAAGTGATACTTGGTGCTGGCATACCCTGGGACCTGCAGGCACTGGCACAACACGATAATCAGCTGTGTGACCTCGAGGTAAGCAACTCTTCAGTGGGGAGAGGGGGGAGGGGCAAATGTGGACACATCTGAACTGTCAGGATTCCTGTTTCCAACCAGATATCAGTACCAGAGACAGAATAAGAACAAGTCAATAGACTCTAAATAAACAGTTGAACATGCTCTACCAACCACCAGTACAAACAACTGTTGAAAGACAGCATTGATCAAACAGGGAAAATTGTCTTAAGTTTATAAAAAACAAAAAACTGACCCCTTGATAATCTGGATGCGTAGCTATTCTCACAACTCTGGCTCCAGACAGTCCTGGGAAGTCCTGGTCTTGGAACTGAAAAGAGAAAATTTGTGAAAGACAAGGAGGATAAAAGTGTTTTGTGTGTGTAAGTGTGTGAGTGTGTCTGGAGTGGTCTACAGAAAGGGATTATGTGTAAATAGGGGGTGGGGGGATGGGGGGATGGG